GCCCAGCGCCAGCCAGAGCCCCCGTCTCGGCGCCAGCCGCCATCCCGGTCGCCCCACGGCACAGCAGCGCCCGCCCGTGAGGTGGGCTTCGTGTTCGCTCCTGTGGTCATTTTGCCCACCGCCTGGGCAAGGTGATGTGGACACCGCTTTCCCTCGGGGGCCCCGGGGTGGGAGGGAGGCTGGTGGGAACCCCATGTGCCCCCGGAGGTGGGGGCTGGGCCACCTCCCTCCAGAGCCCCCAGGACGCAGACGCCCCGGCCTCCCAAGACCCCTTCCCTGCCTTTGCTGGCCCCGGGCCGGCCCCCGTCATCCGCCGCTGTCGACAGGCACCACCAGCTTCCCTGCGCCCCGGGAGCTGGGGTGCAGCTGAGGGAAGCGCCGGGGGCAGGCCCTGGGCTCTCAGAACCTCCAGGGAGCTGACTTAGGAAGAGGGGGCCCTGGGGTCCCCCACAGAGGTATCCTAAGGCAGGACTTGCATCAGCGGGGGCTGCCCCACCCCAGTCCTGCCTTCACCACTGACCACTTTCAACAGGCCCGGGGTGGCCTAAGGTGTGTGGTCCATGATCCGAGGAAGAGCTGCCCGAGTGGACCAGCTGGGCACTGACCCCTAGTGACCACGAAGTCCTGGGAGGGCCGGCCAGGTGAGGCAGGGAGGACTTTGTGTCCGCACAGGACCCCTGCTGCCCCACTGTCCGGCGACCCGCAGCCCGTGAGACGTCACCCCCGGCCAGGGAAGGCCGAGGCTGGCCCCGCCGGCGCCCGCTGGGCAGGCGGGAGTCCGCTTCCAGCAGAGACTGACGCCAGGGTCAGGACCCTCCGCGGCCACGTGGACGGATCAGGCCTGCGAAGCCTCCACAGCCCCCCGCAGCTCGCACCTGTGGTCCCCAGTTGGGAATCGCTTTTCCACTCAACCCTGAGGGGTCAGGCGGCCCGCGGAGGCCTCTGGACCAAACTGTCACCAGGTCAAGAGGCCCATGAGGAAGCAGGAAAGCGGGCGCTCGCGTGCGGGGCGCAGCAGGGGGCCCGCGCCTCCTGCGCCCCCG